AATTAAGTATCTACATACAATACCTATGTGCGCATTATTTTGTCTTGCAGACCAAGAATACTTTGTGGATCTGAAGGATTTCAAACCTCAGACACTGCCAGGTAAATTCACTGTCCAACAGATTTTTTTGCTTCGCTTTCGACTTAGTCGAGCGAGCCTTATTATATGAGTCCATCACTGTCTGTTGTCCGTGTTAAATTTTTAATTTTTCAACTTAAAAACTACAAACCCTATTGCTTTGATACTTGGTGTATGTGTACCTTGGGCAGACCTCTCTTAGATTTCTTCATTTCGTGATGATATGTTTTGTCATTTTTGGTAAAAAATTATATTTTTGACTTTTTGTTGAAAACCGCATTTCTGATTGCTTTGATACTATACATATAGGTATCTCAGGTAGACCTCTCTCAGATTTGTTCTTTTTCTAATAATATCTTCAGTTCTTTAATTGAAATGTGCATTACTACATGTAACAGCAAAGCTATCTCAGCCGACAGGCTGCTTGTTTCTTCTTTGATTTTTACTGGACTGTATTTGATCTTTTGTACTTTGTAAATGTAAAATATAAATCTTGGAGTATATGCCTTGTTTTAAATTACAACACCAGTCCATCCAGATTAATCAAATCCATAAGTATTCCATATTTTTTTGAGTGGTTGCTTTCGAAACACCAAAGATGTGATTGTGAAGTGAAACCTGGTCATTGGACATCGTTTTACTTCCAAATAATCACAGTGCATTGATACTATCGTGAATAGGGTATGAACAGGTAAACTGTTCTTCAACTTGATCTGTTGGCGACCATGAAAGATGTTTTAAATACCTTCTTCACTTTCTATTTACCTTTCAAAAATTGTGAATCACCAGTTTTTGTTGTTGAAATCAGTGCTAACAGATCATATTTTAACATCGCAGTAATGCACTTCTGCGTTGCTTTATAAAGTGTCAATAATCAGAAAATAATGTCAGTATGACACAGCTTTTTCTAAGGTGATCCGTGGGTAAACGTTCACCCCATACTTTTTCCGATTTTTCTGATGTTGAGGCCCCTGGGCTTATGACCAGGGAAATATGGTATTCAGTGTTGTGAACAATTTCATACCAGTCAAACTTCAATGTCAATTGCATCTATGAATTATATTATGGGTATTTGGTATTTCTAATGATAGTTCCAATTCTTGTTTTTTCCGTCACTCATTCCTTATTGATTATTCATATTTGTTGTATTCTCTCCTCAGGTGGCAATATGCAACCAAGGCCCTGGCTTGGTTTGGACCATATCAACAAAAACAAAAGATCACGTTACAACTATCTAGAAAAAGCTATCAAGATTCTAAACTGAATGAAATCAGTGTTTCGGGATTATGTAAATTGACACTGGCGGCAGCGACTACCACAAGCGATGAATCTCTCTTTCATGCATATCGTATTTATTGTATCGAAAATGCGCTTTGATTGGTTGGAAGCTCCTCTGGCTGGCCCCCCTCTCTATGCACGTATAGAATATACTGATATAACTTAGCCCAATACAACCTTGAAGTACATATAGTTAGTCTTCAAATCCCTTCTTACAAAGCAGTCCTCCTCATCTCCTGTCCTGCCCCCTAAATTCCCACCCAAAAAACTCTTTTTAATATTTACTGTATATTTGTTTAGAAACAAAAAACTTGACACATCATGTTGCTTCTACTAGCTGACTCTTTTTAGAGATAGTAGCAAAAATAAAAAGTACCTATATGAATAAAATAATTTCTTCATAATTAATGTAATGTGTAATAATTCCATGTGGTTTTTGTAAGTGATGTTATTATTTCTTGTTACTGTTATAAGCAATAAAAAGAGTCATCCCAAAAAGTCACTTGTTTATCTTCAACCGTTGTTGTACTGATAATTGTAATGGTGTAACGTTGTATGCTTTTAAGCAATCGTATCCAGAATGTTTTTATAATTATAACAGCTTTGTGAAATAAGTGTGGATGGTTTTCATTGAGATTTGCAGCATTCTATATCTACATATTGTTTAATACTTTTTTTTACATACTATAGTGTAAGTGTAACATTAGTGGAGGTACATGTGTGGAACTATCATCCTGATGTGTACTCCACTAGTATTTATTTACGCTTTTGATAAAATAGTGGCTCACAAAATACTGCAAAATTTTGCTATGGATTGCATAAGAGTTATTTGTCAAAAGCATATTACAATGCAAATATTTACAATCAATTACATCACTTTCTGTGAGTTTTTTTTATATTAGTACTGTAAAATGACTAATTTTCACTGGGTTTAAATTTCACTGATTTACCATTTCAGGCATATTCAGTGGGTTTTAAATTCACGGTTTTATCATTTAGATAATGTTTTATGTTAAATTTTACATATTCACTGAGTTTTAATTTAGTGCATTTTCCAGTCGGCGAAATAAGCCAAATTAAAACCCAGTGAATAATTAACCATTTTACAGTATATCACCAGCAACGTTCATTACATTCGATTTGCAAAGAGATAGCTTGTGTGTAGGTGTAGAGATATTGATAACTGATGCTATGCCACATGATTAAAGGACGATAGTCGTCGCGCTACGCATGTGCGAGATATATAGTACTCATATAAACAAAGATGGCGACTTTGACTGTTGCACAGATCAATGAGAACAAACTGAGACATTTCCAAGCTTTAATTAGATAATTTTTAAGTGATTGGAAGTCACTGGCGGTATTCAGTGCAAGTCGCACCCAGGTCAAACCTCATACTTGTGATTTCCATTTCAAGAGCGCATTGGATTGTGGGAAAATCAATGTTTATCAACACACGTGTCGCACACGCGCAGCATAACGACGACCTCCGCGCTTTAAGTATTTCCCAATGGATTTGTTTGGTCAAAGCTGGTATGTATGTTTATTTAATCCTTGTTTTGCTGGTCGAGTGATTTCAATCATTTGACCAGTCAACAAAACAAGATAGTGTTTTGTCTAAGAGTATTTCCGGTAGATGCAGTAGAGCAGTCTGACATTATAATCAGTAATTGTACATAGATGAGGTGCAAGACAATTACAAACTCTGGGGTTGGGGTGAAATCATTAGATAGATAAAGGTAAGTAAACAAAACAAACCTGTAAGAAAAAATATTGCAAATGATCGCTCTTAAATTAACTGTGATTATGCTGACATTGTTCAATCATTGTGGGTAGCGGCTGAGGATACTCTACCAACTGTCAAATCTAAACGATATCACGAGATTCCAGGATGACCAAGTTCGTGACTTTCATAACATTGCTAGGGATGCATTCATGGTATGGGTAAGTAATGGAAGACCTCGCACTGGACCAATATATGAATTAATGCGTAAAACGTGGGCAAAATTTAAGACAATGATTCAAATTTGTAGAAGAAACGATGAAAAAGCGAGAGCTGATGCGTTAGCTTATAAGTTATCACAGGGGAAATCTCAAGACTTTTGGAATTCAGTTAATAATATGACTAACATTGTTGGACCTCTACCATCTACTATAGAGGGTTGTGATGGGCAAACAAGCATTTGCAATATGTGGAAAAACATTATGAATATCTTCTTCAGTCTGTAACAAATTGCCAACTTGAATACAAAAATCATGTGATATCTGCTGTGAATGTCGTAAATTACCACGAAGATATGATGGTTACCTGTAATCACAGTCACTCCACTAGTAGTGACTGTGCTGTAATGAAATCAAAGTAGCCGTTAATAAATTGGAAAAAGGGAAATGTTTTATAGGAAAAGACAGACTGATTACGTTAAAGGGGAACCGCTCAATCCCATGGATTGCACTAAAAAATCGTGGGACACTATTGTTTATGTTGTTTACAATGTTAATCTATCTTTTGTTATCCATTGTTATTTTAATCCAGAAAGTAAATTTGTTGTGAAATTAATCTTAACTGGAAGGTGCCCCTTTAAATCTCTCCTGCGCAAGGAATTATATAACTTCAGTCAGCGCCTACTTATGAGCGATTATGCTTTAATTCGTACTTGTGTCAATTCTGACAGTTTTTTCTTATCCAAATTTTGGACTAATTTTAGACGTTGTATTTATTAGTGTTGGTGTTTGTAATGTATTTAATATAAGACTGTTTTGGCCTGAAATAAAGGATTAATAATAAATGTACAGGATAAATGTATGTGGCCATTTACATTTAAACAGCTGGATAACTATCATTCCCTATGAGAGTTATTTGTGACTCCTCTAGGGTAGATGCAGAACGGTGCACCTTTACATTGACATCATTGCCACATGTCATGTTCAATATGGATTAGTATGTGTAGAGTTAACGACTTTAAACAACTTGCTTCCATTTTTCAATGGGTCAACTTTATAAATTGACAGCACGGAAGTCTTTAGGACTGGACAGCTGTGGTGATACTGTTTTCCGGGCAGAGTCAGTTGTCGTGTGTATCGCTGTGCACCTTTACTTTCGCGCACAGCAATACACATGCCAGCTGACCGTGGCTTGCGTATACAAGGGACTTTGTTTTGATTTTGCTACAAATTTCCTGGTATTTAAATGTAGAAACAATAGTCTGAAATAAAAAAAATCGACCACGACGGGAGTCGAACCCGCAATCTTCTGATCCGAAGTCAGACGCCTTATCCATTAGGCTACGCGGCCCCAAACATATGGAACAGATGATCTACGCGTACTTAGTATTTGCACTGTGTTGCGAAATTAAGTAGTTATATTTAGACGGTAATAAAAATGTTTACATACGAATTGTCCGTCTCGAGGCCAAATTTGTTACTTTGTAATACATACATGCGTAATTGTTCTGTATTGCTACAGGCATTCTTCATACCGAGTACCTTTGCAGCGGGATTGTGAGGGCGCTGTCTGTCACGG